AGGCTTTAAAAAAAGAAGGAAGGAAGGAAGGAAGGAAAGAAGGAAGGAAGGAAGGAAAGAAAGAAGGAAGGAAGAAGAGTAACCATCTGAATGTGTACAGGTCAGTTACTGAGGTGGGTGTATCTACCACAACAGAATACCGAGGTGGGAGCCTAACTACCATAACCGAATACCAAGGTTGTTCTACCATAATAGAATTTCTGAGACGGTTTGGATGTCAAATACAATGAGTAGACTTTAAAGCAGTTTATCAAGAATCGAAAATGTCAGCAACCATGTGTTTCTGCCAACTCATTTCAGACTTAAATTCTGCATATCTATCATATGTCTACGACTTACAATTTCAGAACATTCAAAGGCTTATTTAAAAATAAGAGAAGAGTCCCCTGTCCCTAGAATGTTTCTCTAAAGACAAGCTGTCTTTGTATTTTAGTTAGTTATCTCTCAATAATGTGTTTAGCAGTGACTGCCATCTCACTTGAGGAGTTGAGGATTTAGCTTCTAATTATCACCTATGTGCTTACATGTGCTTACCATATCATATGTATGTAGAGTTTCATATATATCATGTGTACAAATTATGTACTTCTTGCAATCACCATCAGTATATATGTATGTATATGTTTGTGAATGTTGTATATGTGTATCTGTGCATATGGGTGTATATATGTGATGTGTGTTTTCATGCATATGTGTGTATGTATGTATATATATGTGTATATGTCTAAGTGTGTATATTTATATTAGTCAGGGTTCTCTAGAGGAACAGAACTGATTGAATATATGTGAGATTTATTAGATTAGCTTATACATGTGTATATGCATGTATGTGTGTAGATATATATGTGTATATGCAAGTATATATCTGTACGTACATGTGTATTAGTCAGGTTTCTCTAGAGGAGTAGAACTGGTAGAATGGATATATACATATACATTATATATCTTTATACATACATAATACATAAACACAACATACACATATACATACATACACACATGTATATATATGATAGATAGATAGATAGATAGATAGATAGATAGATAGATAGATAGATAATTTATTAGAATGGCTTACAGGCTGTAGACCAGCTAATCAACAATGGCTGTTGGAAAGCCCCTGAATCCAGTAGCTATTCAGTTCATGAAGCTGGATGTCTCCGCTAGTCTTTAGTAGACATCACTATTCCAAAGTAGGAGGCTGTAATGCCAGCGAAGGCATAAACTTGCCAGCAAGAGTGAGGGCAAAGAGCAAGCACTTCCTTCTCCCATGGCCTTTATATAGACTGCCACCATGCAGTGAGGCCAGATTTAGGGTGGGTCTTCCACCTCAAAAGGTCTAGATTTAGGGTGGGTCTTCCAACTGCAAATGATTCAATCAAGAAAAATCCCTCACAACTGTGTCCAGCTGCTTAGGTTTTAGTTCATTCCAGATGTAGTCAAGTCAACAACCAAGAATAGCCACCACCATATGTGGTGTGTGTGTGAGTGTGTGTGGGTATATATGGATATGTATATGGGTGTGTGTGTGATGTATGGGTATATATGGATATGTGTGTGTGTGAGAGTGTGTGTGTGTGTGATGTGTGGGTATATATGGATATGTATATGGGTGTGTGTGATGTATGGGTATATATGGATATGTGTGTGTGTGAGAGTGTGTGTGATGTGTGGGTATATATGGATGTGTGTGTGTGTGTGTGTGTGTGTGTGTGTGTGTGTAGGGGCACCTGCATGGCACAGCACTGACGTCAGAGGACTACCTCAGGGGCCAGTCTTTGCCTCCTCTTGGTGAGGAAACATTTATCTTGTGGCTCACCATTACACACACCCGCATATCCAGCCTGTGACCTCCTACAGGCCTCCATCTCTGCCTTCTAACCCCCACACATAAGGTGATATTAGAGACACATGCTACCACATCCAATTTTGTGTGCTTTGGGGGGATTCCAACTTAAGTCCTCATAATTGTGTTACCAACTGAATCATCTCCCAGCCCCACAATCATACTTTCAAATTTCAAAGTTTATTCCATTGTCTCAGAATGTTCTTTTTCAGTAATGTTTTGTTCTTATTTCATGGGTATAATTTAAAAAATATTTGAGTCACCTTTCTCCCTCACAATTTGTGTATCTATTCATGGTCTCTATTTCTTCCAAAGTCCTTTTCCTTGTTTCGTCTTTGTCTTTCCTGTGGCAGATTTTCCCCAAGTATACAGTAATGTTTTCATATTTCCAAACAGGGAACCAAAGGGTTGATGAAGGTTGATGAGTGACACTCGGATGAGGCAGTTTATCCCTGCCATCTCCACACTGGGCTCCTAGCTGTCTGCAGCTGTAGGTCTATGCTCTTGGACTAACTAGAAGAAGGGTTTCCAGTCTCCTCCCCAACTTCTGGAGTCGTGGAGTCTAAACGATGGAGAGAATCTGGGGGTCTCCCCTTTCACTGTGCAGGCTCTCACTGACTGATGGTCCTGCTTTCAAGATGTTACTACTCACTCCATCAATCATGCTCGCAAATCAATCATGCTTGCAACCCAACTCAGAACCCTCTGGTTCACCTCTACAGAGCACAGGGTCAGCTGGAGGGAGGGAAAGGGGGTGTGACCACCCATGCAGCATAGAGCTGCTGGGGAAAAGGGACACCTTGTCAACCATTGTCCCCAGTCCCATGTGCTCCATTCTTTCATGCCCTGGGCCAGCCGTGCTTCTGAAGTTCCAATGACATTGCCTCACAGAGTCGGCTGTTAAACATGTGACAGAGGTGTGCTCATGGAATATGCTGTCTGTGTGCTTGCTGTCAGACATTTGTTTGCTCTCGTAACAGAAAAGACAGGCGTCTACAGGAGGATGACAGCTTAGGGAAGAAGAAGGCTGTCTCCTCCTGTCTCCTGAGTTTGGATCGGCTCTTTCTATCATCCATTCTTTTGATTTTGTATCACTAATGAGTAGAGTGAGCATCTGAGATAATAATAATTTAAAAGCACATAGAGCAGCTGACATTCAACAATAAACCGTAGTGGAGGCCTATAGAGATGGCTCAGTAGGTAAAGTGCTTGCTTTGCAAGTATAAAGACCCAAGTTCAGATCCCCAGAACCCATGTAAACCAGAGGAGGTAGTCAGCCTCTGTAATCCCAGAAGCCCTACAGCAAGATGGGAGTAGAAGCAGAGGAATCTCTAGAGGCTTCTGGGCCAGCTAATCTGGTGAACAACACAAGACCCTGTTTCCAACAAGGTAGGAGATGAAGACCCACACCAGGCATCCTCATCTACTCTGCATACACGCATGCTCACACACATGAACGTGGACACAGGCACACGCGAATGCACACACACACACTACATAAATGAACAGATAATTGAAGACTAAGTCCTAGTGGAATGTATATGGAGTCTGGATCTTCAGGGTGATTCAGGCCCTGTGGGGCACCCATGGTAAGCACAAAACCATGGATTCCAGCCACCAACAACACTACTCCTATGGCATCTGTTTTGCTGGTTTGGGGGCTCTTTGTTTGTTTGTTTTTGTTTTGTTTTGAGACAGGATCTCTCTCTGTAGTCTTGTCTGTCCTAAAACTCACTCTGTAGACCAGGCTGGCCTAAGACTCAGAGATCCACCTGTCTCTGCCTCCTGAGTGCTGGGATTAAAAGCATGTGCTACCACATCTGGCTTGTAAATTATTTCTAAATTGTGTGTGTGTGTGTGTGTGTGTGTGTGTGTGTGAGAGAGAGAGAGAGAGAGAGAGAGAGAGAGAGAGAGAGAGAGAGAGAGAGAGAGAGAGAGAGAGAGAGAGAGACTGCATGGACCTCAGGCTACATGGCCTGTGAGCTTCCGGCAGTCTCTTTTTCTCTGCCTAGCTGTCAGGGATTAGGGATGAGTGCCACCAAACCAGGTTTTCTATATGGGCTTCAGGGACTGGACTCTGGTCAACAAGCTGCATAGGTGATTCATTTACCCACTGAGCCATGTTCCTGATCCAATTCCTTTATCTAAAATGTGGGTTCAACATGAGTTTTCTCTACTGATAATCTCAGCTCATGTCTACCCTGTCCAGATTGTATGCCATTGTTATAGAGTCCATTTTAGAGGTAGAAAACCTCCCCTGAGTTTGCTCAGTTTCTCAGTTAGCGATAATAAGAGCATTGAAATAGTCTGGCAGAAAATTCAAATATTACTGACAAAACACATTTACAGCATGGACCTATTTTCAGTTGAGAGAACTCCCAACTCCCTGCAGGCACATTTACTCACTGAGCCATTTCACTGACCCTGTTTTTGTTTTTCTGTTACGGAATGTCACATGATAGCCCTAGCTATTCTGATACTCACTAGGTAGGTAGCCAAGGCTGGCCTTGAATTTATGACAGTCCTGCTTCAGCTTCCACACCGAGTGACAGCTGTTGCTCTTCAACATAGTAGGGAATGTGTAACAACCTGTCTTCAATTGAGAAAAATTTTTCTAATCCTTCATTAAGAAGAACTCTGCTTGGGTACAACTTCTAAAATGCCACTTTTTAAAAATGTGTATGTGTGTAGGGCTGGAGAGATGGCTCAGACATTAAAGGCTAGACTCAAACCAAAAAATGTGAGTATACATATATATATATATGTATACATACATATATATGCTTATATACACATATATATGCATATACATACAGAGATAAACACATATGCATATACACACATATATATGCAGATACAGACACACACACACACACACACACACACATACACACACACACACTTGCATGCATGCAGTTGCCTGAGGAGGCCCGAAAGGAGCTTAGTGACACTGGAACTGGAGTCCCTGGCAGTTGTGAGCTGTCTGATCAGGATGCTGGGAACTGAGCTCCAGTCCTATGCAAGAGCAATACGTGCTCTTAACTTCTGAGCCATCTCTCCAGCCCCATGTGCCTAACTTGGAACCACTTACTCTGCCATCAAAGAGAGACCTATCGAGTCATAAGCTTTAGAAAAAGAAGAAAGAGTTGTCATATTCCAACAACAAAGTTGATTTTTATTTCAGAAAGCCAACATAGACAAGGACTGCTCCCTGTAGAGCCCCTTAACTGCATTCTTGCACTTTGCAAAACAAAAGATTAATACATTACTGATTAATAGCAGAATAATGACGCAACTCAAAATGTAGCCATCCCAGTATCGAATAATGCAGACATTTGTAGAAAAGCAGACCAGATCATTGAGGAAAATTAGCATATCCTCCAAATGTAGTTATTTGATTGGCTGGCTATCTAGAGCACTTTAGATAACCGTCAATTTTCTATTTTAGACAGGGTAATGATTTCCTACACAAAATGAAAACGGCATGAATGAGAACACAGGAAAACATGTGCCTAGTGCAGGCCTTCATGGTCTCCTCTCCACCATCCACATCCACTGTCTTGGCCATCCTACCTGAGGTCATGGCTTCTACTAGAGGCTAGGGACCTCGCTTTCCAACCACCTTCATGATGACTGTCTCTGGATGGCCAGAGACAGCTATGTTTGTTCAAGGGCAAGCTCTGTTTCACCTCCCTCAGATTCATTCTATTCTCAATGGGTGTCAACTCCAACTTTCTAGGTATTCAGGACAAAATGTGGAGCCAGGCTGGATTCAGCTCTCAATCTTCTGTTGGGCATGCCATCAAAGCACACACAGCCATGGCAGTATCGTTGTCACCTCCTGCCTGGATTGTTGCAGCCATCACAAATGGGAGACTCTGTTCCCACATTTACCCCTTTTACGATATCCATTGCACACTTGCAGCTCTGTGAATTTGTGAGCACCACTTGTAATTCAGGTGCCCGTCAACCTGCAGGCCTTGACCCCTTTGGGGGGTCACATATCCTGCATCTCAGATATTTACATTATGACTCATAATAGCAGCAAAATTACAGTTATGAAGCAACAACGAAATAGTTTTATGGTTGGCCATCACCACACATGAGGAACTGTATTAAAGGGTTGCACCATTAGGAAGGTTGAGAATCACTTCCATAGAGGGTTGGATCTCCTGCAACTAGAATTACAGGCAGTTATGAGTCACCATGTGGGTGTTGGGAACCAAACCTGGGTCCTCTGTGGAGAGGACATGAATCCCTGAATTAATGTGGATTGTTGACATGAACATGGCCATGTCGAGGATACCAAGGCATCAGACTCATGCGAATGGAAGGGCTTTCCCAAGTCGGAGTATGGATGTTGACACAGTTGATCATTAAAACAGAACATGCAGAGTGTCCCAGATAGCTGCATGATTACAGCCCCCCAACCCCAGACTTCCCTATAAAGACCCCCTACCTAAATTAGCTAACCCAATTCCTTGTTCATGCTGTATAAAATAAACACACTGAGACTCTTGCTGCTGGTGTGTTTCCATGCCAGCTTTGTGTTCTGGTGCCTGTCTTAATCTCCTATCAATGCCCAGTCAGGTTTCCAAGACCCAGCTCTCAAGGCCGTGGTGGTCCTCTACAGGAGCAATCAGTGCTCTTAACCACCGAGTCATCTTTCCAGCCCGTATGCAAACCAAAACTCACCTAGAAACCTCTGTGAGTTTGTCCTCTTCTCCCTGTTTCATGCCACGCCACACCAGCCCTCTGAGCTTTCTGCATCCTTCTGCCTCAATATCCTTGGTACCTGGTCAGTACCAGGAAATCACATTGAACAAAGCCCACCCTGGTGTCTTAGTCAGGGTTTCCGTTTCCATGAAGAGATACTATGACCACAGCAACTCTTATAAGGAAAACATTTAGTCCCTTACAGTTCAGAGGTTTAGTCCATTGTCATCATGGCAGGAAGCACGATGGCAGGTAGGCAGACAAGGTGCTGGAGTAGGCGCTGAGAGTCCTTACATCTTGTCCCACAGGAAACAGGAAGTGGTCCGAATCACTGGGCACAGCTTGACCATGTGTGAGACCTCAAAGCCCGCCTCCACAGTGACACACTTCCTCCAACAAGGCTACACCCACTCCAGCAAAGCCACACCTCCTAACAGTGCTTTAGAGGCCATTTTCTTTAAACAACCACACCTGGGGATCCTCTTTAGACCAGTAGAGTCCAAACCTCAATTTGGACTTGATTGGTTTTTCTACTTTTCCTTCGAAACCCTTCCTTTCTCCTTTTATTGTGTATGTATGGGCCTATCCTTGTTATGACAGGCGTGTGGAGGTCAGGGAACAACTTTGAGAGATTGTTTCTCATTTACTGTCCCTTTTCCAAAAGATGTTTTTTTCAGCCGGAGGAGATGGCTCGGTTATTTTGTAGGGGTTCAATTCCAGCACACACCTGGGGACTCACAGGGTACGTAAAGCTTGGACATACAGACTTACATGTAAGGAACACACCAGGACAGTCATTGACATTGCTCTTAGACGGCTTAATAATAATTCAGGAACACCATCATAGCTTTACACTGAAACACTTTGCTGAGTGGCAAATTGAGAATAAACACATTCTTCTGCACAACCACAAATAAAAGACCACATTTAAGGAAGTGGGTATTCATATTAGCAAGTATATAATTCCTGAGCAATTTCCTCAAATTCCCAAGTCTTTTTTTTTCTTTGCATCTAGAGACTGTAACTGTGGACAGTGGAGCATATTCTGTATAAACGCTGTCTTCCTCTCTCTTCTCTTTCTCCTTCTCTTCTTCTCCTCCTTGTCTATAATATCACTGACATATTGTAAGTAGCTGCGCCAATTTCCTCATCACCAAATTAAAGATTGTTTTTGGAAAATGTCTTCTAAGAAATTAGAGTTTCAATGCATTACTTCACGCCTATAAGGAGGCAGCACCATGACATGACTCTAAGGCTGGCCTGCGCAGCCAGACGGACCTATGTGAGTGCGAGTCAACCTGTACAGCTCACGAGCTGTGAGAAACGCCTGGCTGCTCCCTGGCTCTCCTTCACCCCTCACAGAGCGGTTGAGCAAACAGATTGACACGTGTGATGCATAGAGGAGTACCTGGTATGTGGCGGGTACTCTGTGAGTGCTAGCTTTCTTTATGGTTGTAAGCAGCCATTTCCATCGAACGGCTGAGTGAGAGTGGGAGACGCGCCAGGCAGCTTCACACCTCCCCCAAGCGTACAGGCTCTGTGGTAGCTCAGGTTTCTGGTTTGGGGAGCGCAGCGTTTCTGCCTCATCTCTTCTTGATAAATGACAACCACTGGAGGCTCAGAAGGGACAGGAAAGGCAGCTTAGACTCAGAGGTGAGCCACTTTGACCAGACATGCCTGTAGGGTGGGGCAGAGGTACCAACAGCTCCACCCTTGTGGGAGACTATGTGGGGCATTCCCGTCCCTCATTCATGTGCACGTCTCTCTCCTCTCACAGGTCACGAGCGAACACCTTCCTTGTGGGAGACTGTGTGGGGCATTCCCGTCCCTCATTCATGTCTCTCTCCTCTCACAGGTCACAAGCAAACACCTTCCTTGCAGCTGCCCATCACATGCTGTGCAGTTCAGTGGAAGCCAAACCCTCTTTCCAACAAGACCAGGGCAAAGCTGTCGCCTAAAGGACTTGGCTTGAAATATATTCTAGATCAGCTGCGCCCCCCCCTCGCTACGGCACCCCTGGTCTGTCCTGGGTCCACCACAGCTCAGAGTCTGCTTCGGGGTACCTGGGACTGAACCTTTAACTGTGGAAGAGTTTGAGAAGATGGATCATGGCCACACATCTACAAAACTTGGAGCAATACTGCCCACACAGTAGGTTCTTCGTAAGTATTAAGCATGGTTACAGTTGGAGGATGAACCCACAGCTCCAGGGACAAGCCAGGGGTTCCATAGGAGACTCAGACAAACACAAGTGCAGGCACACAAACTCTTGAAAAGTGTTGATGGTGAGGCCTCATCCTCATAATTGCTTCCCATCACATCACTGGCTGGCCCCTTGCCCTTAATTACAAGGGAATGAAGGCTCCGGCTGAGTTGTAATACAAAGAGCCTGGTGCCATGTGCCCCCATGAGACCCACCACAGGCATTCAATTTAGCTAATAAGTATGGCTACTGGGAGACTTGAATGTTCTCTCTCCTGTGGACAGCTTCTTCTTCTTCTTCTTTATTTTTTTTTTAAATAAGTGAAACTCTTTGGTTCATCCTTTCTCTCGGTTTCACAGAGGACTTTTCACGGCGGCTTGTTTGAAGGTGAGCAGCAGGGGTCGTAAGAACTTAATTTTAAGAAATTCAAAGAGCAAGGAACACACTTTGTTCTCTGCCTTTCTTAAGCCTATATTGCCAGCCTTTCATAGTAATTTGTCTTTCATGGATAAAATATACACAAAAATCACTGAGAGGCAAAGGCAGCTGACGTGACCTTGGCCAACCAAGTCCTTCTGTTTTTAATCGGCGTGCACCGAATGTATTATTAAGATTTCTACACGGTGGCATTCCCAGCGAGTAGGTCGGCTCGGAGAGAGAATTTATCGTTTCTTTATTTTTCAGTTCAAAAAAATAAGGGCAAAGAAACTTGCACATGGGATTTTTTTTTTGATTTTCATTTATCGGCCAAAAAGAAAAAAAAAAACTAATGTAGGCAGAATCCCAACACGCTAAGACCAGAACTAAAGTAATAGTGTCTGGGGAACCCGTGAGTGAATTATTGTGATCGTAGGTGCTGAAACATGGATTCTTCCTGGGCCTCTCATCTGACCCCACTGCACACGGGCTTTTGTCCACTTCCCAGCACTTGAGCCAGTAATGATCTCCTCCAGGCTGGACTGAACGCTCTCCCCGCTCCCTCGCCGTCTTTCATCTACTGGCTGTCTTTGTTCGTCGCCACCGCGGTCTTCCTCCTCCTCCATAAGCCCTCTTCTTCTAATTTTGTCTGATCCTTTGGTATTTCTGTTCTTTCCCAGTTCCATATTTTAAAAATAAAAATGAAAACGACAATTAGAGAAGAGAGGCCAAAAAAAGAAGAACCCAACTCAAGCAGTATTATTTTATTGTATTTTTCTTCTAATTTTTCCCCCCAGGTTGGTTTTTGTATGCGGTGAATAGAATTTTTGTGTCTTCCTCTATCCCACCAAGCATTTTCCTTTCATTACTTCATGCATTGATAACCTCTCTAACTTGTCTTAATTTCTGCTTCCGTCCTGGCCATTGCCCATTGTCTTCCACTGTGGGCATTTGATGTTCTGCCCTCTTCCCTCAAAACCATCAAAGAGCCCAAAATTAGAGCCTCGATTCTCTTTCTGTTCATTCAGGTTTCCCTTTTGTTCTAAGAGATGAGTATAGTTTATTATTATTATTATTACGTATGTTTATTTACTGTCTGTGACAGACACGTGCCATGGTGCTCTGGTAGATGTTGGAGGATGATGTGGAGTTGATTCCCTCCTTGTACCACGTGGGTCCCCGTGTCTAACTCACGTCATCCGCTCAGTAGCAAGCACCTTTGCCCTCCAAACCGTTGTCTCTCTGGCCTGAGACGAATGAATATCATCTAAAAGAAACATTGAAAAGCCCTTCCGTGCTCCCACCAACACCATCCGAACCTTAAACAGTCCTGCTTTCCCTGGAAACTAACCTGGCAACGCATATCACAGAGATGCTAATATCTAGAACGTATTCTTTCCTCTAAGCAATTCTCAAGATTTTTCTGGAGTTCCTAGAAAAGCGGCAGCTATGCCCATTCTCTCCTAGATTGGTGGAATATTCACAGCTGTTATTTTTTAAAGGGGGGGCAGGGTATTGCCAGAACTCAAAAAAGTTTGGAAACATTAAATTAAGCAAATCTTCCATAAAAATCTAAAATATCCATCCTAGCACACTGTCTGCGTGGGTGTCGTTTCCCTGTTCTGTGTCTGTGCCAGCGGTACGGCCTGCAACACCCCCCAAATGGGAAATGATTCCTTCAAAAGATCATTATGGCATTGTTTGAACTAGTTTATTTTTTTTAATTCCAAATGTTAGCGGAGGTGTAGAGTCTCACACCTTTAATCCCACACCCAGGAGGCAGAGGCAGGAGGATCTCTGTTTACCATGTTAATTGGCAGTACGGACCTGGGAAAATGGAGCCTAAAACTGAGGCAGACCAAAGTCTCATGCGATAGCCAACTTTATTCGGAGCACCGGACGATTTATACTGTGAGGCTTAAGAAGAGTCACGTGTAAGGTGTTCAATCACAAGGACAAGCCACACGTGGCAAAAACATGGATTTCCCATAAAGGTGCATGACTGGCAACTGAAGTGAAGTCCTCCTGCCTGCTATACCTGGGAGGATCATGAAAACATCTTCCAAGAACAGTTCCATGTTCTGAAGAAACTGAGGTCAGCAAGAGCATGTTCCAACCTATCTCTCTGAGTGAGAGGCCGATCTGGTCTACATCAAAAGTTGTAGGCCAGCGAAGTTTACACAGTGAGACCCTGTCTTAAAAACAAACAAACAAAATCCCAGATGCTTTTCACGTCTATAAAGCTGGGGTTTGGCTGAGCAACTGACAGTATAATAAAAGAGCATGCAACTGGGCGTTGGTGGTGCACGCCTTTAATCCCAGCACTCGGAAGGATCTCTGTGAGTTCGAGACCAGCCTGGTCTACAAGAGCTAGTTCCAGGACAGGCTCCAAAGCTACACAGAAAAGCCTTGTCTCAAAAAAACTAGATAGATAGATAGATAGATAGATAGATAGATAGATAGATAGATAGATAGATAGATAGAAGAGCATGCAGCCATTATAAATAATGATGAGGCCAACACTTACTGACAATGAAAGAAGTTAGTTCCGAGCACTTAAGGGCACTTGCTGTGCTTTCAGAAGTCCTGAAAAGACACTTAAGCAGACAGGTGTGGTGACACACACTATAATCCCAGCACTGGAGAGACTGAGGCAGGAGGATTGTGAGTTGGAGATAGGCATGTTATGTAGTGACACTCAGTGAACAAGTAAATGTTTGAACACACATAGGGAGATAAAAATGCAATAGAAGTTGTGACCCCATTCAACTGCATGTGGTCTCCTGTTTCTTGACCTGCAATAATCTGGTGTGTGTTAAACACCACGGGATGCACACCCGTGTCCATGACTAGCACCCGAAAGAAAATAAGGTATTTAATTCTGAACAGTGGGCACGGGTTTGTTTAGAGACTCAGCTCCCTTTTGCTAAGAGTTCTGGAAAGTGGGAACGACAGGAGGAGGCTGTGAGACAGCTCTGTAGTCAAGAGTGAGTACTGTTCTTACAGAGGACCCACGTCCAGTTCCCGGCACCTGTGGCAGGCTCCTCACACCTGCAGCTCCAGCTCTAGGGGACCCAGTGCCTTTGGCCTTGGCCAGCGCCGCACTCGTGTGTAAAACCCTCATACAGACACACGTGCATGCTCATAATTAAGAATAATAAAAACGTATTTGAAAGGCACTCCAATTTGAAAATGTCTTTGCCTCGGCTTCCCTTGTCTTTACAGTCAGGGTGCTGTTGAGTAGTGCAAGCCCGGGCCTCACATCTCAGAACCAACCAGCCTCCCAGAACCACCCTGCCTCCTCCTCGCCAGTTCTGAGACTGCAGTTGTAGACCGCCATGTCTGGAAAATGGATCAGCTTATGTAGTGACGAATGTAAGTGAAACACTGAATCCATTTCCCCATGGTTTTCCTTTTCCAGCAGACTAGCCAGCACCGGGCCTTTTCCTTACTTTTGTTTCTTTTTCTTGGGGGCCACATAGCATTTTTATTTTTCATGTATTTCTATTAGCATGTACTGATTATGCTTCATAATAGTTTTTCGTATGACATTTTCATACATGTACATTGTGTACTATGAGTCTATTCAACACTGAGACAGACAGACACACACTCACACACACACACACAGGCACCATTTTTAAATGCCAAGGCTAGGAGAAAAGGGGTCCTTCTGAAACATGTTCCATCACAAGCAGAAACCGTGTGCGTTTGATCAAGTACCCCAAAAGTTGTTGCTAAACAGTGAAAGATTTAAAGTAAGTGAAATGGGCCTAATTTTTTCCCCTGGAGCTAAAGCAATTTACTGTTGTTGCAGTCAATTTAAATAACAACAGTTTAATCTGAAATACTTTAATCAGCTTCCTTTCTACATTTACCCAACTTGCCACTCAAGTTTTGTTAAGTTCGCACAAGTCTCTACTACTATGTATGTAACATTTTTCCTTAGAGTCCTGTTTAAACTCAGGAAACTCTGAAGTCTGGTTTGAGGGGCTGGGAGCACACATTGACCATGCTGCTCTGGTTTCAAACACCCCCATGGGTTTTGAACCCATGAGGCTCCTGGGTTCGAACCCTAGGTTCCCATCACCGATCATGCTGCTCTGGTTTGAAATGCACTCAAGAGACTCCTGGGTTTGAACACTCGGTCCTCTTCTGCTGGCACTGCTTTGGGAGGCTGAAGACCCTTCAGAGGTGTGGTCTAGGGGTGACAGGAAGCAGGTTTGAGCACCTGTGACTCAGCACTGGCTACTCTCCACAATCTCTGACGTTGCCTAAGGCTTTTGTTGCCACAGCCCAGAATGCCTCCCCGGCCCGCCATACTTCCCCCCAAAACAAACTTTCTTTCTTCCTCAGAGCAACTGCCTAAGAAACTTCTCCATGCTTGTCCCTGTCTCTACAAGTGCTCTTCTAGGGTGAGTCTCTCTTTCCTGAGGCCCAGGGTGTTAATAACTGTGTTTATGATCTTTCCCCAAAGAAGATGGCAGAGCAGTGGATAGATCTGAGAAACCACAGCGTGTCCACGAGTGTGTATTGATGGCTGAGTTTCTTCTTTCTAGGTTAGAAATAGGACTCCAGTATGCTGGAAAGTCGCCTGCTTCTGTGATAGCCAGTGTTTTTGTTTATAATCCCCAAGCGGCTGAATGCCATCTGTGTTGTATTATCCGTTCCTTCAAGTAGTGTTTATTGAGCATCTACATTCTGTCTGGCACTGCCTGGGGCTATGGCAGCGATCAAAACTGACGCCCTGAGGGCCTGAGGCTGAACATCTAGTGTTTTTTTTTTTATAGCATTCTAATTATATGTTTCCTCTTCTAGACTCTAAACTCCTGGAGAACAAGGTCTGGCTCTAACTTAGTTTCCAGTCCCCCACAGCCTCCAAAGGAGGCATTTGGCACCGATAAATCAGGAGATGGTTGAGGCCACACAACTTGTCGTGTTTGTCTTTTACATGGCCTCTTCGCTGTTCCACCCCTTGACTCTAAAAGCTTGCTCTGAACTCTCCTTTGTTTTTCCCACTTTGTTGATTTTTCTCCTTTTGGTTTTCAATTTTTCTGAGTTTAATGCATAACATGTTGAAGAAACAGTGGTGATGTGGAACAGAAAAGTAGCAACCGATTCAAGAAACGCAAAAGAAGTTTGCAAAAGAAGTTTCATCTGATGCTTTCGAAGCACTCTGCTTTAGAAATACAAGGGAAGAAATGCTTCACTTTTTATTTTTTTAGATTTTTTAAATGTCTTACTGCATTTCAATGTGTGTGTGTGTGTGGCTGTATATGTGTGTGTGAGAGTGTATATGTGTGTGAGAGTGTATATGTGAGTGTGTGTGTATATGTGTGTATGTATATGTATGACTGTGTGAGTGCATATGTGTGGAAGTACATGTGTAAGTGTTATGTGTGTATACGTGTGTGAGTGTATACGTGTGACTGTGTATGAGTGTGAGTGTGTATATGTGTCAGTGTATGTGTGTGACTGTGTATGAGTGTGTGAGTGAGTGTGTATATGTGTGACTGTGTGAGTGCATATGTTTGAATATATATGTGCCAGTGTGTGTATGTGATACATGGTTTCATCACAGCATGGATGTGGACGTCACAGTTGCTCTCTCTCATTCTACTGAGCGGGTCCCCGGGATGGAACTTAGTCCATCCGGCTTGTCGGCAGGCACTTTCTGAGCATCTGTCCTGAGAGTTCAGAAATTTTGTCTTTGTAATTTGTGAGTACTTACTTTGCAAAAAGATTCAAATAATCGTTTAGGTCTAAGCTGCCTTTAGCATACCTCACAAGCTCATGTGTTAACAAGCAAACGAGAAATGCTCTTTCCCAGCTTAGGAAGAGAAATGCTCTTTCCCCAGCTAGGGAAAAGCCTTATGTGTTTACTTTTATCTTAAAGTCTGCTAAGTAACAAGTGTTTAAGGCCATCGCCCCTTAGCCTTTCTTAGGTATAAAGAGCTAAGCCAAAGCCTGGCTTCCTAAGCATCTCACAGTACCCCATCAAGACAACACCTGAGCATCTGCTCTGGGAAGGTTGGTGACATTCTGCCATGCCCAGTCTCTGTGGATTCTTCGACTCACAGCAATGAATACTTTCATTCCTGTTTTTTCTTCCCTCCTACGAAGGAAATAGTGAACAGTTGTCCTGAGGTTCCGTGTGAAGACTGAACCTGGAGGCAGAGAGCTGGACTTGTCGGGCTCGCAGCTGCCTCTCCGTGGGGCTGTCTGCCCTCACATGGAATCAACAGGGATTTCCCAGAGGGCTGAGGAGGTCATGGCCTTTGGGAACAAAGTCAAGTTCTGATCCAGCCCCCTCCTGCGGCCACTAGATGACACTGCCGCCTCAAAAATGACAAAGTGGTTCCCGGCTCAAAGCAGAGACTGTCACAGAGCTTGGAACTTTGCTGCATTTTGTGCAGTGTTGCTGCTATTATTATTATTGTTATTGTTATTAAATGAAAAAGAAAGTAGTGAGATTTCCAAGAGAGAAAAAAATAAAATTAAAGCCCATGAAACCAACTGTGTTGGCAGCAAAGCCTTAGCTTGGATCTGTGTGACCTTTTTGTTCAATATTGAGTATCTGTTCAAAAGAACTACAGTGCCTGAATCGTGTTAGGCCCATAGGAGAGCTAAGAACAGCTGATTGGCTATTCAGGAATCAGACAGTTGGGGGCTGGCAAGATGGCTAGGTGCTAAAAGCACTTGCTGCCAAGCCTTACAACCCCAGTTTGATCCCCAGGAGAGAAATACACTCCCCAGCATTGTCTTCTGCCCTCCACACATGCCTACACACGCACACACACGCGCGCGCGCGCACACACACACACACACACACACACAGAGTGAGAGAGAGAGAGAGAGAGAGAGAGACCCAAGAGAGAGAAGAAAGAAATTTAAGAAGCAAAAGAAAAAAAGAGCCAGATAGTCATGTCTGCACTATTGCTGAGGCTTTCATCCCCTCCCCAGTATGAACAGTCCTTGTCCTTTCTGGGGCAGCCATGCCTGACACAAACGCTGTGGAGCAGCTGGGCTCAGGTGTCATATTGTGAATTATGCATGAGGGAACTCGACTCTCACTGCAGTTGAGCTCTGGGAAGAAGAGAGGCCAGGAGAAGCCATCAAGACTTGGGCCAAGCCAGACATACAGAATGGAGGAAGGGTTAAAAAAAAAAAAGGGCCAAGTGGCAGAAGGTAGGCTTAAAAAATATGGACTAATTAAGCTATAAGAGATAGCTGGGGACAAGCCAAAACTAAAGGCCAAGCTTTCATAATTAATAAGAAGTCTCTGCACCATTATTTGTGAGCTGGTGGTCCCCAAAGAAAATCAAACCACGGGAGGGATGTTACCAACTGATCCTCAAAATAGATAAGGTTTTGGATTTTTGGTGTTTTGGGACGGGGTTTCTCTGTGCAGCCCTGGCTGATCTGGAACTCACAATGTAGACCAGGCTGGCCTCAAACTCACAGGGATCCACTGGTTTCCTCTCCCGAGGGTTGAGATTTAATGTCTGTCTGCCAGATGAGGGCAGGCACCCACAGAGGTCAGAAGCAGCCGTGGTGGCCCGGGAGCTGGAATCACAGCAGTCGTGAGCAGCCTGAGGTGGGTGCTGGGAACTGAACTCAGTTCCTGTGGGAGAGCAGCAAGCTCTCTTAACTATTGAGCCTTCTTTCTAGAGAGCAGAGCCCTGTGCCGATGAGAGACAAGAAGGGTGACCTGTCTGTGTCAACACTGTACTGAGGCAGGAACCTAAGGTCAATGTGGGTGACAGCGGTAACCAAGACATGTGGGATGGGGAGAGACCGGAGAGGTGAAGTTTGTAAAGAGAAGCCTTTTCCTTGAGAGAAGCCTTCCCGCCAGCCTGGTTCTAGAGCCACATCAGTCCCAAATAAACACATAGGAGGCTGTATTAATTATGAAGCTGTTGGCCTTGCTTGTTTCTTACTGGCTAGCTCTGGCTTAAGTGATTACCCCATAATTGTTAATCTAAGTATGTCTCTTACTGGAGAATAGTTCTGGGTTTCCTACCCCACGGTATTACATCTTGACTCTCTGTGTTTCTCCTTCCCAGAGTCCTCCTGGACTCCTAGTCCCACCTATCTAGATTCCTATTGGCCAGCAGTGCTTTATTGACACAGGACTTCCTCAACAGAAGTTCATCCATAAATTGGGTGTGTAAGAAACTATGCAGGGGCTGGAGAGATGACTTAGTGGTTAAGAGCACTGGCTGCTCTTCCAGAGGTTCCAAGTTCAATTCCCAGCAACCACATGGTGGCTCACAACTATCCATAATGAGATGTGGTCCCTTCTTCTGACCTGCAGGCAGACATGTACACATAATAAATAAATAAATCTTTAAAAAAGGAAACTGTGAAAGTTCTTCTGATGAGTGGTACAAATGTCATCTCAGCCAGTCTTTAAAATTCCACCCACATTTGGGTGGCTCCGTGATCAAAAGGAGTGTTTGGTAGCATCCATGGGCCATGCCTTTTCCTCAGCCCTAGCAATGCTCTGGAGGGTCTTAGTGTGTTCTGGGAGCTGTAGCAAAACACCGCGGTGATGGTGAGCAGTTCTGGAGGCCAAAGTATACATGTTTCTCTTATTGGCTAATGAATGAAACACTGTGGCCAATGAGGCAGGAAGATAGGCAGGACTAGGAGACAAGGAGAATTCTGGGAAAGATAGGCAGGAGCCGACCAGAGTAACCATGCAGCTGCCGAGGAGGACAGGATGTACCTGGCATTCTCCGTGGCAGCAGTACGTAGGTGGGACAAGAGAATCTCCAGCTGCAAGACATCCAAGAGTAAAGTTCAGGTAGGTCCCCTTCCTCAGAAACAGTGCTTCCTTCCTGTGCCAGGACACAGCAGAAGGGTCAGGTAACCTCTCCCCGTCTTCCTACAATGGGCACGAAACCACCCTCAGGTTCCAATTCCTTCCCAAAGACCACACTTCTTGCTAGGATTTCAACCGTGCAAACTGGGGACAGAGGAAACATTTGCAAACCATGGCATGAACCCATTGGATGTCTAGGAAGTCACTTTCCTGATTCCTGCGGAAACACTTGAAGATTGGTGCCCCTTCTGTTACTTAGGGAATTCTGGAGTCTACGTGAGACGAGGGTGTGGAAGATCTCTGCCTTGAGCCACCCAAGCTGACAGAGTTGCAGCTGTGCCCCCCCCCACTCCTCCAGACCCACCCGGAAGGAGACCACAGTTCATGGACTCTGGGTTTCCTTCCTTGTTCCTACCTCAACATGACTTTTTAATGATGGAGATCTGAACCTTGATGTTTCCGTAGTCCCACAATGTAGGCTACGGAAGCTCAAGACTCTTTACACTCTTATTCTGCAATCTTGTTTCTTCTGCAAGGCAAGGCTGCCGAACTAGAGGTAAGAGATGAGGAGGGTGCGGAGTTGGAATGTATGGTCCCCGGCTAGCGTCTCTAGCCCGTCATACTATCGAGAAGGCTATTGCGCTATTCTAGACACAAAGCTGTCAAGAGCCAACCTCTTTCCTGTGGAATCAACACAGGGTTGACGGTGGGAAGTGGAGTTGGGGCTTGGGTGGAGCAAACGTCTGCTCTCCTCTAATGCAGTTTCCATGGCTTCTGCTTCCCCTTGTCCTTTCCCATCGCCCGTCCTAACTCACCAGCTCCTGCCAAGGAGAAGATCTTCAAATCTATCCTTCCTCCCGTTGTGAATACCAGCATCCCCCCACACACACACCTGCCTACATCATTGTCTATTAAATCATGAAAGCTGCCTTTCTGAACCAAAAATCTGATCCTGCCAACCCACGTTCTTCCATGGTACCACAATGCCCACACAGCACTGAGCGTTGCCTAGACACAGCATGCCATGCTCTACCCTGCCACCTTTATGGCTTGGCCTCGGGCTGGGGCTCTGGCTCATTGGGAAACATCGTGGTGAAGGACATGGACTCATTGCTAAGTACACTGGCTTTGATTAGACAAGTAATTTTAAAACTCGGGCCTTGTACGTGTCAAATAGACACAATACCCCTGGGTTACATCCCCGGCCTTGAACAAAGAATTTTAACTCTACAACATGCCAATAGAAGGATTAAAGGAGAATCTTTGAAATTTTGTGTTGCAGAGTGGGGTTTTGCCTGTGAGAGTGTGTATGTGTGGTTGTGTGTGTGTGTGAGAGAGAGAGAGAGAGAGAGAGAGAGAGAGAGAGAGAGAGAGAGTGTATGTGTGTGCAACATCAACTTGAAGTTGTGTTAATCATCTGTAACTTTTTTTTAAACCTAGACTGGGTTTTGGTGATGATAATGACACTCACAGTATCATTACCCAAGGAATTTGATAAACATTGCATTAACTGAGATTAGTTTCAGGGGAGTTGGGTGGCACCCCGCAACCCTTCCCCTGCCTGCCTCAGTGTACACAAGTTCTGTTTTCTTCAACCAAGACTCACAATCCATGAAGATGTACCTGTCCTACCTCTCCCTCCCTCACGCACAGCTTGCCTGAATCTCGCACCCAAGTCAAGCCTGTGTGTGTGTGTGTGTGTGTGTGTGTGTACCACGGGCCAGAAGAGCACTGAAACTAGAGATGGCTGTGTGTGTGTGTGTGTGTGTGTGTGAGTGTGTGTGCGCACTGCAGGCCAGAAGAGCACTGAAACTAGAGATGGCTGTGAGCCACCTTATGGGTGCCTGGGATGCAATCCTGTCCTCTGCATGAGCAGCCACTGTTCTTGACCACTGAGCCAACTCTCCAGTCCCCTAAAATGAGAATATTTCACACAGGTGCCTAGCACACAGTCAGAGCTCTGTAAATGTGTGTTATTATCCCTGCATGTCCAATGCTCTCCTACCTACAAAAATTGCAGCCAGTAGTTTATTTATTTATTTATTTATTTATTTATTTATTTATTTATTTATTTATTTAGGTTTTTTGAGACAGGGTTTCTCTGTGCATCTTTGTAGGGCAGGCTGGCCGGGAACTCACAGAGATCTGCCTGCCTCTGCCTCCCAAGTGCTGGGACTGCCTGACTGTGCCACCACTGCCTGACTGCCAGTGTCTTTTTCAACCCTCTTCACTCTATCAGTCTTCTGGTTCTTGCTGGGAGTTTTCCACGGAACTTTGTATCTATTGCTTTCCTGTGGTTGCTGTGACAACTGGCCACATGGTCCTGCAGTCCAGACATCTGGACATAGCACGCCTGAACTAAACTCAGGATGTCACGGTCCGTGCTCCCTGGAGGGACTCTGAGGGAAGACAGGCTTCTTTGCCGACAGACTCCACTGGAGTACCACGTCAAGTCAGTCCGTGTCCTATAGCATGTGCTGCCTAGTCTTTTGGCCTCCACAGAGCCTCGCCTTCTGCCTTGATGTAAAGGGGCCTTAGGATGGAATTGAGAGTCGGGTGACTCATCGACTCTGGTCCTCAACGCACTTGTAAGTCTCCCTATTAACCATACAAGGCAATGTTTACGTGCTCTTGGTATGAGGCCCTAATAATAGTATCGTTACCCAGGTCCTTCAGAACTGAACCTTCCTACAACCGTGCGAGCACCCGATTAGACCGCCACCGCTGTCTGTGGCTGTAGCGGCCGGAATGCGCCAGATCTCCTCTGCACATGCGCAACAGAGAAAGTCCTTATAGAGGAACAACAGTCTGCCCCGGCCTGGCCCATGTTCCCTTCTGGTCCCTCTCTGCCAGGGCTCTATTTCCAGACCCAGAGCCGTCTCTTCCACGTGTTAATCTGCAACTGGAAGGATGCTTTACAAATGGATTAGATGATCTTCTAGGCTTGAGCAGTTAAGCAAAGGGGACCTTCATCCTGGGCCCTGTCTGCTTCTCAGTGCTAGCTAGGCGGAGAGGCTCCAAACCTCCTTCCAACACCGCTTTTCCCAAATCATGGGACCAACGGGACAGGAGACGGTAGACAGGCCCTGGCAGCCATGCAGCTCCCTTCACGGAATGTGAGACCGTTGAGTGGCAGGGCGACAGGCATGGAGGGTGCTGCCATCGGTCTGGCTGGGAGCCTTGGCCATTTATTTTAAGCCCGGTTTTTATCATAACCGAGCCTCCTAGTTTTATGGCTATTGCTTCACTGCCTGTTTCCCCGTCTCGAGTCACTCAAGTTCATACGGGTTTTTCTGAAACGAAGCTGCTTGTCTTCCAGCGTCCTCCTGTGACAGCCACCTCTGGCCCGAGATGCCCTGGATTCACTGCCCAGTGCCCCCTGAAACCCGGTGTGGTACCACACACCTGTAATGCTGCCACCAGGGAGACAGAGGCAGGAGGATCCAAAGTTCAAGGTCATTCGCCAGCACATAGGGAGGTCAAGGCCAGCCTGACTCAAAGCAAAACATGGAGAAAGGGTGTGTGTGGGGTGTGTGTGTGTGTGTGTGTGTGTGTTTGTGTGTGAATTACTCAATCATTCTGCACAGTGAGTTCTTGAAACAGTCAATTGTGTACTGTTTTACAAACATGATGTTTGTTTACATCCATGCAAATCTTCTCTTCTTTGTACTGGTAAGACACCCTCCCACCACCCACGCCCCCAAGCCCAAACCAGAAGGCTAACACGCAAAACAAATGGCAGTCCAGAAACACATTGAAGATCCGCGTAAGATGGCTATGCTCAGAAGATTCCAAGGTTTGAGAAACTGCTTAGGCATCCAGAACTGCCAGCTAAAGGAACCTCCTTTCTTCATAAATCCCTCAGCCTCTGGTACTTTGTTACGGTAGCCCAGGACAGGCTAAGACACCAGGGACAAACGTCTTTTCTGAGCAGTGAGAACCCCCTGGCAGGTGGCAGGCTATGTCAAAGGAGTGTTGCTGTAGTCACATACCTGTCACTCAGTGTTGTTCATTACGAGTGAGTGGTATATGAAAAAAGTTTCTCAAATCTCACACCTGTTTTAGGGTACGTAAGGTGTGTTTAATAAATACATTGGCTCTATAGTTGGACCATTATACCCAGTAACTAAGAGTAATTATTACTGGGCTCAAATATGTGGGATTCGATGGTCCAGGGCAATACTTTGCCCAAGTTTATAGTTCAATGACGCCCACAGTCAGTTCATGCTTACTAAGTGGGCCTGCAATATGGTTCAGCGTATAAAGGCCACCAAACCTGACAGGCAACCCCAGTTTGAATCCCAGGCCCCAGGTAGTGGAAGGCAAGAACCTATTCCTGCAAGCTGCCCTCTGACCTCCGCTCATAGGCATAGCCTATATGCCATAGATGCATGCTTACACATAAACTCCTGCATAGAAAAAAGAAATTGTAAACTGGGCGTTGGTGGCCCACGCCTTTAATCCCCACACTCCAGGGGCAGAGGCAGGCGGATTTCTGTGAGTTCAAGGCCAGCCTGGTCTACCGAGAGAGTTCCAGGACAGCCTCCAAAACAATACAGAGAAACCCTGTCTCAGAAAAAAAAATTGTAATGTAGTAATAAAATACAAATTTGGACAAGAGAACCCACATCCATGCTGCCACAAATTCCGGATTTTCTTTTTCTTTTTTTTTCTTTTTTTTCCTTTTTTTTTGGTTTTTCGAGACACGGTTTCTCTGTGTAGCTTTGGAGGCTGTCCTGGAACTAGCTCTGTAGACCAGGCTGGTCTCAAACTCACAGAGATCCGCCTGCCTCTGCCTCCTGAGTGCTGGGATTAAAGGCGTGCACCACCAATGCCCGGCTCAAATTCCGGATTTTATGGTTTAACCCGGTGAACAAAAGCTTGGGAGAGAACGCAGCTTGCATTGAACCTCTACAAAGTTGATTAACTGTTGTGCAGAGGTTGGACTGTTGCGGTCTGAAGCTTAATGACCAGTTTTTCTCTGGCTGTCTGGGACAGCCACTCCTCGCCTACCCTGTGTCTAACCTAACATCTTTGTAACAGGTAAAGCCTCGGGGACATTAATCAGATCGTTAACTCACCAACCCAAATGCTAAGAATGCAGTCAGACTGCGTCTGAGCTAGGCCTACACTGAGGTCGCCTCTCTTCCTGTAGCCAGCCTACCTGATGGTCCCCCGGACGGACGTATATTTTATGACCTCCTTTGCTGTGTTATTACCGTCATTTTATCAAACTGTTACAACCTCGGAACATGGAATTTGGGGGTAACCCAAACCTGGCCATGGCCCCTCATATCCAGAATGAACTCTCTCTAGTGCCCCGGGAGGTGAGAGATCTGTGGTTTTTGCACGCACAGCTCAACCCTGCAAACCACGTTCATTGACTCCCTGCTGAAGCAGCCTGGGTCTTACGTGAGGACACCGTCTGCCGCCACAGCAGGTGCGGTGGGCCCGGTCTGCTTCGGACTCGTGTCTTTCCCACGGAGCAGTCGCGTGGCTTCAGCCTGGTGGGTGCATGCGGATCCCCTGCGGCAGGCGCGCGCCCGGCGCACCCACGCTCAGCCCTCCCGCCCGTGGCTCCGGGGCGCGGCCAGGGCCCAGCGCCCGCCCAGAGCGAGCCGAGCGCCCAAGTTCCTTGAAGGCGGGCGGCGGCCGCAGAGCCGTCCTTCCTCCTCCCCTCCCTCCTCCCTCCCGTGACGCGCGTGCCCCGCAGCGCGCAGCCGCAGCGCCGCCAGCATGCGCGCCGAGGCCCGCGGTGGCCTGGAGCGCTTCTGCAGCGCCGGCAAGGGCCGGGGGCTCCGCGCGCTGCGACCCTTCCACGTGGGCGATCTCCTCTTCTCCTGCCCGGCCTACGCCAGCGTGCTCACCGTGGGCGAGCGGGGCCACCACTGCGAGTGCTGCTTTGCCAGGTACGCGGCGGCGACCGGTGCGGGGACCGTGCGGGAGGGAGGGGCCTCGCGGGGCCACGTGCGCCGCCCCGCACTGCCACGGCCTGGCCCGCACCGGCCTGCGCCGCCCCACGCGTGTCCGCTTTAACTTAGGCTCCCTGTCTGGGCCAGGCCGTCCCGAGGTGGGCGGTTCCCCCACTCCCCAGGCGTGATGACTCAATCAGCCAGGGACCCTTCCGGTCCTTGGATAGGAATGGGTGGGGGGAACCACGGTTACTGGGGGAATATTTGACTGCCGTCTATCACACATGAGCCGTGTGTGTAGAAGTTGTATCCATATCCATGTGCCAACCTTGGAGGTAGTTTTGATGCAGAAAGGTACCTTCTCACCCCGTCTCTTCGTTTTACAAGACGCTTTATCTTGAGAGATCGTTTTACAGTTGGGGAACTAAGAGCCCAGAGAAGAATGGTGGCTGTGTATACACCAGACACTTATTAGGGGGCTGAAACCTGTCCTGGCTCAGAGCTAGCCACTTCCACTCACTTCTGTGCTCCCTAAGTTTGCTGAGGTAGGAGGTCTGGCTTTGGGGTTCAGCCTGTCCCGGGCCCTCCATGGAAACCTGAGGAAGGGACCCTGCCTTACTTGCTTTGAAGGCCAATGGCTTCATCTTCGAAATGGGCATGCTGAGTTAGGTTAAGTTAACCTGAGGTTCTGCAGGTACCTCTTGAGGGCTGGTCCGCGTCCAACCCTCAAGGAAGCCCTCAGCCTCCCAGACGTGTGTGTGTGTGTGTGTGTGTGTGTGTGTGTGTGTGTGTGTGTGTGTGTGACAGAAAAGACAACAAAAGAACGGACAGAGGTTGAATATTAGAGTAATGTCGGCCCGGACTCCCTGCTAGAACTGTCTTCCGCTTGGGGGGACCTGGAAAGGAACTAGACGCAGAACCGTGCCGTGGGCAGCGGAAGGGCTGTATGTGATGTGCCTCTTTGAATTGGTGAGCCAGGAGCTAAAGGGTCATGGCACCACTTTGCGACGTTTGAGTGAAGTGAGCATTGGGTTTTCCCAAAGTTAAAAAGGCTGCTGCGACTGGTCCCTTGATCTTCTGAGCCTCGCTGTGGCTGGGAGTCTGCTGCAGTGTGGGTGTCTGCAGTACGGGAGCAAGGCGGGTCACCCCGCGCAGAAGGGGCCTCCGTCA